GCCCTTTTGACAATAGTCCATTCCTCCGTCGTGAATTTAGCAGAGACATGAGTGATTGGTCATTGGGACAACTGAACAACTCGATGCCTCCTCGACTCTAAGTCCGCATGATAACGAACCCCGTCGGTTTGTTCCAAAGCTGCGTTTGCACGACGCTTTTGTATACGTTCTTTGAGGGTCGAACGAGCCCTTTTGACGAGTGTCCATTCCTCCATCGTGAATTGTGCAGAAACGTGAGTAGTTTGTCGTTGCGTTGAACAAACCACTTGTTGTTTTCTCGACTCTAAGTCCGCGTAATAACGAACTCCGTCGGTTTGTTCAAATGCCTTAACTATTTGGCGAGCACGGCGCTGACGTTGTCTCTGACGAGCCCTCTTCGTCAGTGCCGGTGGGCTTTGATTCGATGACTCTTTAACTAGATAAGAGTCATTGTGAGCAGAGGTGTTGCGAGTAAAATTCTTAGCAACAATCCGGAGAGAGTCTTCATTTTGTGCCTTCTTTGGCATGTAGGTCTTCCTTAATTGTGAGATCCTCTTGTATTTACGAGACAATGAAGATCTTGGAGAGGATGATGAGAGATATTCCTCAAACTTGGTTTGGTCAAATTCGTATTCGACCATGGATTCAACTAGAATCTTGATCGGCTGCGACACGACGGTCTCGGCAGCGAGACCGTTGGCTCCCACTGTGGTCGCCAGTTTGTTTGCGTCAAAAGTTGGTTTTGTTATGGAATTCATTATATCTTCGGTCGATTACAACAAATTCAAAAGAGATAGTCTTTTTATAAGACTTCTTTTACACAACAAAAGAAAAATTACAACTTTTTAGAAACAAACGCAGGATCGTTGTTTGGATCGCTGCTTGCGTGGGATCTTTGCCTGTGCCGGGAGCGCTTTGACTCGTGGACCACCAAATCACAGATTCTGATTGAACCGTGAGGGGTTTAATGTTCCTTCGTTTATCGAAGTAAAGATTTGAAAGCGAATATCTTATCGATGTAAGATGTTCACTCTTCTAAAGATCAAGTCAGAGCTTAGATCTCTAGGAATCGCCAAAAGCTTCTTGAAGATGTTTGTGAAGAAGGAAGACTCTCTCTTTTGCTCTAATTCACCAAAAGCTTAAGCCTTTTCTGCTCTAATAATGCTCTCTAATCAGCCCTCTTTGATGCTCTCTGTCCTTTGCTTCGTGTTTAGGGAGGTATTTATAGGGGTTTCAGTGCACCACAGTTGAAACGGGGGCGAAATAACTGACCGATTGATTTCTCTTTGGCCGCTGCAGTCTACACTGCCGCGGCTATTGGCGCGGCAGTATAGGCTGCCGCGGCCAAAGAGGCGGTTATCAGCACGTTCCATCGTGTTGCCGCGCCTTAGCCGCGGCACCTTGGACTGCCGCGCCTTGGCCGCGGCACCATTGGCTGCCGCGCCTTGGCCGCGGCACCCTGGACTGCCGCGCCTTAGCCGCGGCACCTTGTCCTGCCGCGCTGCGTTGTGTTGCCTGACGATGTGTATATTGTTCCTCCATGTTGTTTCGAGTGGTACTTGTATGTCTGTAAGCATTTTTTTTAACGCCTACAGCCATATGTCAGGATGTGCAGAAGGGCTCAATGTTATATTGAGAAGGCAAATTACCATAATTTTATGACAGCTTGACCTTGTCCCTCGAATAATCTATATAAGGGCATGGCGTTACCCTGAGACATCTACCTTTATTTCTTATTCAGTTTTAGTAGTGGAGCTGGCCCTTAAGGACCTAGACTGTGAATGAGTCTCTACATAGAAAACAAGAAAAGGTTAAGACAGCAAATTGGTCCCCTCAAGGACATAATTTACTGACCAAATTTCTAATCTAAGGGTGTGTTTGGCAACACCTAAAACTGGGCTAGGCTCAGTTCTAGCCCAGTTCTGATATTTTCCTGATTGACGAAAAACAGGCCACAAATGGCCCATTTTTCCTCCAGAAAAAAGCTCTTTAAATTGATTCTTTGTTGAACCACCTCCTACCTGGTTTGATTTTAGTCTAGTTTAGGATAAAAATGAGCCAGGACTGATCCTGGGCCGTTTTTTCATGGGTTGCCAACCACAACCCTAAAGATATCCAAGTTGTTGAAATCAACTTTTAAGTCCAGCATTCTGTGTGGTTGATGCAAGTAACACCTTATTGTTTTCTGGAATCAATCAAAGCACACTTATGAAATGGAAATAAGAACCACCTTATCATGTTTGTATAATCGTATGCACCACGTGAAACCATATTCTGCATGCTTGTTTTACAAGTATTATGTACAGTACATGTAGCACATATTTGGGGTGTGTCCCTATTCAGTACATGTAGTACGCATATGGGACCTGGGACACAACCACAGAGAGACACAAATACATATTGGATGTGTATACAAGCTTCAGTTCATGAATTTGCTACATAGGATCCATATGTGACTAGGATGCTGATTTTGAATAATTTCCTGCATGCTGCACCAGAGCATGTATGGTAATGTTCAATAATAAGCTCCTTTGAATTTGTGAGTTCTTATATAGGTTTGAATTAGTGCCCAAATAATCCATGATTACACTGGCAGGGAGTGAAGGTGAAAACTTCTATTCTATAATATTATATGAAGCACACCCTACATACCAGTGGAAAATGCTCTTCTTCGTCCATTTTATAAAAACTAGTATCAAGCAGGTGCAACGAAAACTAGTATAGTGCACGTGCATTGCACATGGATGTATTTGTTTTATGTTTAGGATTTTTCTCATGGACAGTTAGGTGATAAAATGATTCAAAGAAAAAAAAAAAGATTTAAAATAAAGCATTTTGAAAAAAGTTTTAAGTGTTTGCGTAAGATGTACGTAAATTTAGAAGTGAAAATTGACAGAAATTAGGATATATCTTAATTTTTACAACTTCAGGATTACATATTTAGCAATCAATGTTTACGATAGTTTTTGTATTGAAATACTGCTGTATTCAGAGTATTATCTTATTTGTTATTAGTAAATGATTATTAATAATTTTAGAAATAATGATTTTTATAAAGGAGCAAAAAGAAACTCATGTCTTAATTATGTAGCTGATCGGTTTGAGGCTAAAATTATCCTATATTAGTTTTTAATTATAATTAATTAATAATTTAAGTAATAGCTAAGTTAATTTAATATACGGTTTTTCTATAGAGTGCCCTTGGGCACTCTATAAGAGAGGAGAGAGATAGAGAGAAATGAATGAAGAGAGGATCCCAATGCAAATCAGGGGGTCCCCCTCCTCATTCATTTCTCTCTATCTCTCTCCTCTCTTATAGAGTGCCCAAGGGCACTCTATAGAAAAACCGTTTAATATATTATTATTATTATAACAACATATTCTTATTAGTTTCTCTAAAAATGTTGGTAGGATAAAATGGAATGATGAAAACAAATTAAAAAGTATATTAACAATTTTACGAGGTCCCAAATCTATTCATCTTTTCTTTTACCTCTGTTTTCATCTTTGATTAGAAAATTTTGGTTTGTTGTTAATCTTTGAAACTGAATGTTGATATGATTGACGAAGAATGATTTGATCTCTTGCATTGGCGATCTGTTTTAGCTTCCTAATTCTTATATTATAATGTTTTATTGAAATTCATGAAACTAAAAGTAGCTGTTCATTCAGTGAAATTATGCAAACAACTTGTTAATTATAAATCTGCATGCTGCACCAGAGCATGTATGGTAATGTTCAATAATAAGATCCTTTGAATTTACGAATTCTTATGTAGGGAGTGAAGTTGAGAACTTTTATTCTATAATATTATATGAAACACACCTTACATACCAACGGAAAATGCTCTTCTTCATCCATTTTACAAAGATGGAAGCACATTTTTAATGCAGGATACCTGCAGCATATTTAGACTGCCATTTGTTTTATCTAGTAACATTAGAATGCCAAAACATCATTTCCAAGACTTCTTTCACTAAAATGGGCTGAGCACAATAAGTTAAAAAAGTGCCTGAAAATCCTTATCAAAAGTTTAGTACCATATGTCAACTTTATTATTAGCTATGAACCCTCACAATTGGGTAGAAATGAAGTTGCTTTAGAATGTAGCGAGGCAATATAGCATCCAAGGCCTACTACCTTATTTATCGTGCAGTCTGTGTACAAGGTACAAATGGTTCCAGTGGCTTCTTTTGCGAACTTTTGAGTTTGTATTAAACACGAGTAACAAATAGTACAGAGTACAGATCAGCCTCCCTATCCCCAATTAATCCCCTGAATCCCTGATGAGGAGCAGTCCTACAAATTACAGTTTTGATAAGTTTCTCTAAATAGAAGACACAGCGAGTTTTGACGTAGAGACTTGCATTCATCTGTCACAAGCCAAGAATCTAAAGTTGCAGCCCTAAAAATGCCAGAAATTAAGGTTGAACTCTCTGCTGGTTGTGTTAGTTAGATCTATATTTCTTCTGTATTCAAACGGGGTATATTTATTTAGATTATGGTACTGAAATATAATTTAAGGATCATTCTCTATATTCATGCTCACCGTTTCATAACATAGCAAGAAAATTAGCTCAAGTGCCTAGGGTGCTGACTTGGAAACAACTTCAGTAAAGGCACTGAAGTATATCACGTCATTGCCAAGCTCTTCCATTAGGATACCCAGAACAGCCTTGCCGTATTTTAAACCTATTGGTTATATCTGCAAACTTCAGTGCAAATTTGAGTACATGTCAACTTAGGTAATAATAAATACATGCTCTGCATTTCACATGCATTTCCTTTTAAATCTTTCCACCACTTCTAATTGTAGTAAACAAGTGCGCCAACTACCATAAGGATATCAATGCTCATAAGGCTTAATTGTGTACTTTACCAGTTGTTACTCGTATCATTTTATGCCTAACACATCTGCAGTAATTTTATCCCTTGCATATTACAGTACCATAAAAAACTTTATTTTAGCTTGTTTATGATCAAGTATTTATCAAGTAATTCCCTTTACAAACTCTTAACAGACATTGGTGAGATATCAATTGCCTGTTATCGTGATCGTCTTTAATAATGGCGGTGTATATGGAGGTGATCGAAGAAACTCCGATGAAATAACTGGGCCTTATAAGGATGACCCAGCCCCGACTTCTTTTGTTCCTGAGGCAGCATATCACACAATGATGGAAGCTTTCGGAGGCAAAGGTTATCTCGCCAGTAACCCTCGAGAATTAAAGTCAGCTCTTTCAGAATCATTCTCTGCGAAAAAACCAGCTGTGATAAATGTTATTGTTGATCCTTATGCTGGTGCTGAGAGCGGAAGGTTGCAGCATAAGAATTGATTCCGGCTACATCCAAATTTCAACATACTTGGCTGCTCTATAATGTTGTCGGGCAAGCAGAATAACTTTGAAATAAGAGAGTTACTATTTGTATTTAAGCTGAGAAACGTTTCATTTGGAACTGCAGTGTTTCAAGTATATATGTAGTTCCAACGTTAAACAGACATATTTTCTCGTGTTTGCAATGTTTATATTTGTTAGTAAGTTTCGAGATACTGGTTGTAGAACACATTGTTGAGTGGACTGCGTAACGCAGCAACACAATGTAATTGGAGCAGTGAGACATGTTGGATTTAAATATCAAAAGACTGTTCGGAAAAGATTTTTTTTTTCATGGTTTAATCAAGTCTCCATTATTTATTTTCACATAATTCTCATGAGTTGGAACTTACTCTTTTTTTTTTTTTTTGACATTATTCTTGTCTGTCTAGACTTTCGAACTAGTCCAGAGCAGAGATAAAGACGTATAGGGAAATTCTTCTCCCGTTCCCTAAAAAACATCATCAGCAAATTTTTTTATAAAATTGCGAGAAATTTCTTCCTCCTCATTATAGGTGACTTTCAGTTGCTGTGGTCTATGAATCATCCCTGAAGTGCTTCAACGTGATTACCTTTTTAGACCAACAGATTCTTTTAATTTTCCAATTTTTTTTTCTATATTATCCACTTCGTATTTATTGTAATTTGATATAGTTGTTGCATAACATACAACAATAGAATCACGTGCCACACAATCAAGTCATGTATGTTTTTGTACGGACAAATTTTCAAAACCAACCTTTTTGATTTTTTATTTGTAAAAAACGACCCATTTTTAAAATATTTGTAAAAACCGACCTGGTTTCAGCCTCAGCACTGAAACCAGGTCGGTTTTTGAAAATTTTTTTCCGAAACTTCACGGGAGTTGAACTCCCGTGAAGTTTAGCAGCTTTTAATTAAGCTGCTAAACTTCACGAGAGTTCAACTCCCGTGAAGTTTCACAGTTCAAATTTTTTTTTAACTGTGAAACTTCACGGGAGTTGAACTCCCGTGAAGTTTAGCAACTTAATTAAAAGCTGCTAAACTTCACGGGAGTTCAACTCCCGTGAAGTTTCGGAAACTTTTTTTTAAAAACCGACCTGGTTTCAGCGCTGAGGCTGAAACCAGGTCGGTTTTTGCAAATAAAACTGAAATAGGTCGTTTTTTACAAATAAAAAACCAAAAGAGTTGGTTTTGAAAATTTGTCCGTTTTTGTACAGGGACGTTATACGCTTCTAACTCCATTTTATTCACCAAAGTTGATGTGGACATCAGGAATCTGAACCCCATTCTATTCACCAAAATTAGTGGCTGCTTGAATGAATATTCATCATCTGAATTGCTATTTCATTGAAATATTGTCTTGACAAGAGGTTGAAAAGGTCTTACAGATTAACCGAACAACCATATACAGAAAAGACAAAGAAGAACAGGGTTAAAATCACATTTTCATTGAATACTGGAGACGTACATCAATTTCTCATTTACAACGAACTACAAAATGTGTCATTCTCTTATCCTTTATTCTCTATCTGCTTGCTTGCTCCTGTACTTTCTTACTGTAATTCATTTAGCCTCTGAATGCAATGAGCTTGGGGAGATTTTTCTCTTACTCCAAAAAATAATTTCGACTCCAATTGAAGGGCGAATCACCAGGAAAGTGATATATTTTAGTTTGAATTTGCTGCTGCTGTTGTTGCTGCTGTTGTTTCCGTTGTTGTTGCTGTATGCATAGGGATAGTGGATTCATAAACTCTATCTGTCGCCTTCTTAACCTGTAAAACAGTAAAAGACTAAAATTAAATTGGCACAGTATAAGGTAATTGCAATATAATCATGATATGTATTTTTTTCCTAATTATGTATACCATAAATCCATTTTGACTTTCAAACATTAACATAAGCAATTTGGTTATATGTGTGCATCTGATATATATACACAACTTGGATACCTCGATGTTTATGGAAACTTATATGAACTTGATTACAGAATGTTTTCTGTTTTTACTTATCAGGAATTGTAACAAATGCAGGTTACCAACCAAAAACACAATTTCTAGATGCAAAGGAAAATGGTTACAAATTCTTTGTGTTCGCATAAAAGGAGGTAAAAAAAAAGAATATTTTATTAATTAGAAACAAACATGTTTTTTATGTCCTTACGAAAATAATTGGATGAATTCGCCGGCAATTGTACTCTGCCGATGTATTACTAAGTTATGTGAATAATTACAGAATAAGAAAACTCAAAGAATAGAAATGTGAAAGTTGCCATGGTATTGTATCCACAAAATAAATTTGGTATTATTACAGTTGAAGTTATAGCATAACAGAAAATTACCTCTTTGTCCCAGTCCGCTCGAAGCGTAGTTACTGAAAGGAGGAAAGGTTGAGCAAATAGTGCACATGTGATTCCTGTCCAAAGACCCTGTTCATCACATTAAGAAACTATCAGACCGCCTAAAATATAATTTTCAGACAAAAATTTATTAAAATGTTTGGAAAAAAACTGGACAGAAATTCATAAGAAGAGTCCACCTTTGTTTCAAGATGGAGAACAAAAGTCAAGACAACAGAAATTGGAATCCCCACAAGGTAGTAAGACGCAAGATTAATTAAAGCACAGATCTTTTGCCAACCACACCCTCTAGTGATGCCTAATCAAGCAATGAAACATTATGCAACGATTTGCCAGCACTGATCAAAGCAAATCTCAATCCCATCGCTACAACGTTCATATTATTTTGTGAAATCCTTTGTGTAGATGTAATTGGTTCGTGTATATATAAAGATAATCAATCTAATACTTTTAGAAGAGAATATAACAGTTATCAAATTGTACAAAATGACAGGTATTTGTTCGCTTGCCGCAGAGATAAGCTAAACAGAGAGGAAAATCAAATAAAACCAATAAAGAATGTAAGGCAATACTTAAAGAAGGTTATTTCTGAACTCGAGGGCGGGGAGCGGAGCGGCGGCGAGTTCCGGCGACGAGGTCGGGCGGAGGAGAGGAGGGGGGCTCTGAGTTTTTTTTTTTTGTTTTTGAAAAAGGGGGGGCTCTGGGATCTGGTTTGAAATGAGAATAGGGGGACAGGCACTTTTGGCATGGTTTTTGAATAGAGGGCCGAGATCTTTTTAGGGTTATGAATGGCCGACTCAGATTGTGCATTCTTTAAATGCACTGAGCCTCTTTTGGTTCATATTACCATATATGTATATATTAATAAATAAATAAATATATATATATATAGAGAGAGAGAGAGAAGCAGAGAGGAGGAGGAGGAGGAGAAACAAGAGAGGGACAGCTCAATAATCAATGGAGAAGAAGGTGGTTTGGGCTGAGACCAGTAAGCAATTGGGCCTTGCTGGGCCTTTAATATTAGCAAATGTGTTGCAGTTTATTCTTCAGGCGATATCAGTTATGTTTGTGGGTCACCTTGGAGAGCTTGCCCTCTCTGGAGCTTCCATGGCTGCCTCCTTCGGCTCTGTCACCGGTTTGAGCGTGCTGGTATTGTTATCTATATTTCTCTTGCTCTTATTTTTTTTGCCCATTATTAATTTATTTATCCTGTAGATCTTATCAGATTTTTTTTCCCTTTTAATATTGTTCCCTGTTGTTTGTAGATACTAGCAAGTATATAATCATAATCTCTTTCTTTTATTCGAAACACCTGCTACGTAGTGAATATGATCCTGTAGAGTAGTTAGTTGGGGACAAGATACTCAGGCTCGAATTTAGTGCTGCATTGCATATTACAAGAATTTTTGTTAAAATATCTACGTGAGGCATAATTCTTGGGGAGCTCACTGATCTTTTAGAAAAAAAGAATGCTCAACTTGAAAGAGGGTCCCAAAGAATAAATATAAACTATACTTTTGGTGTTTTTCTGAAGGCATATCAGAGTCAGTACTTAGTTTGAAGTTGGAAGTTGGAACAATGAGCATATGCCAAATATGCCAAAAGTTGTCTCATTTTTTGGGTATATGTTACAGTGAACTCCCAAAATTTGAGCATTTAGAATTGATGAAAAATTAACAACAAACAACAAACAACTGCTAATGAATTCATTGTTCAATAATTAATAGAAATTCTAGAACAGCAGAAAAAATATATAATTCAAAGAAGACCCATAAAGCAAATCAGCACAAAATCAAACAATCTATACCAAGCCCACTTCAACACTTTTTTTCTTTTTTAAAACAAAAAAAGACCCCTTCAATAAAAGCAAAATGAATTGGCTTCCGCTATCACAAGCTATTTTCTCATTTGATTAATCTTTCTCCTCCAATAATCCTATCAATAAAACCCCTTCTGCGAATATCTTCTTTCTCCTCCAATGGTTTACAAAGCCCTGACAATTATTAGTCATTTATGCTCCTAAAGAAATTCTACAATTTCAAGAAGACCCACAAAAGAAATCAGCACATGCTCTACGCAATCGATCAATTTACACAAAACCCACTTCAGGAACATCAAAACAAATTGTAAGAGACTCATAAATGAAATCAGTACACAATTACTTACAGCACACAGTCAACAAATCTACACAAAACCCACTTCAATGATGATGAACTGGAGACTACAACGACGAGAGGTGTTGACGACAACGAACTAGTCTACTAGAGACGACGACGAGTCTCGAAGACGAACTGGAGCCGACGACGGGTCTCGACGACGAACTGGACGACCGACGCGAACTGGAGACGACGACGAGCTGGAGACACACGACGAGATGGAGACGGTGATGATCAGGAGAAAGGTGGTTTTTAAAACTAGGGTTTAATGTTGCTGCGGTTAGAGTGATTAGGAGTTATGGGGGATTTTGGATTTGGGGTTCTACTTGGGGCTTTGGGGATTTTGGTTGTGGGTTTTGTTAATTAATAGTAATAGGTTAAACTTTCAGTCAATTATGATTAGGAGTATCATCAATAAAGATAATGGATCCATTCGTCATTAAGGGGCTATTTGGTTCGTTTCCTAGATATAGGGAAATATATTTCTATGTACAAAAACATAAGTTTTGAGTTTTCCAAACTTTTCCAAGAAATATATTGTTTCGCTTTGGTTCGCACAAAAAAATGGTAGGAAATCAATGTATTTATTTTTCTTGTGTTTGGTTCGCATGGAAAAAAAGGGGAAAACTTTTGTTTATATGGTAAAAAGCCGACGTTGCTGCAGTTTTCGTCAATTTCACGAGGTTGAGGAAGGAATTAGGGGAGAGAAAAAAAATCTGATGTGGCGACGATTTTCACCGAGTTTTCCTTCTTCAACCCTAGCGAACCAAAGATGGGAAAAAAACTGACGGAATGCTTATATCCTACGTGGCCACGAAAAATCTGATGTGGAAGCGGTGTAAAACTTTTCCACCGAGTTAAAAAACGAAACAAACAGCCCCTAAGAAGACCCAGTAACGACGGTATTAGGATCAAATCAATGAAAGGACTAGAAAGCTGTTATCCCATCTCACACCATTCCTCTAACTAGTTGAGATGCACGTGTAATACACGTGATAATATCATGATTACTTAAATTGATAAAAATAGAATAAAAATAAAAAAAGAAAATAAAATTTTTTGTGGGATTGATCGTCAACTCAATAATCTCTCTCTCAAATGAAATATTGTTACTGTTTCATTTAACTCAGACAGTGGTCATGTGATCTACTATTTGTGAGTTATAAATATATTAATCTAGTACAACATCTCTGTTTATTAGTATCGTAAAGTCTTCAAAAGATAGGTGATCATTAAATTCGTAAAGGAATTTTGCATATAATTTTAATTACAATATGTCCATTAAACTTTTAGTTGTGGTTTGACTCATATTGATATTAACTTGTAGTTGTGGTTTTACTCATATTTACATTATCTAATATTCTCATTCAATTTTATAGTTCATTTCCCGTACCATTTTCCATACCATAGAAGTAAAATTGAAAGTATATATAAGATTTTTCCATAGTATATATATGGAATAATCAATGTTTTCATTATCTAATATAGAAGATTATCATAACCCTTTTTTACATTATCTAATACATTATACCATAGTGTGTGTATATATATATATATATATATAATATATATATATATATATATATTTACATTATATAATATTCTCATTAAATTTTATAGCTCATTCAATTTTAATATTTATATAAGATTACATAACCCTTTTTAATAAACTATAAAGTATATATATGAAAGCCTCAATGCTTATAACTAGTAGTTAGGCTCCATAAAATATGTTAACTTTACATTGTAGTTTGCTAATGGTAGTACTATTGGCAATGCCATTACCTTTCCTCTTTATCTTATTATTCATGCTTTTCTAATGTAGGTTCTCTTTTGCTAATCACTCAATTGGCTATATTTAGTTTTTATAATATCAGAATTTAGAATATTCTCTTCTGTTTAAAAAGTGTTGACATAATTTTCTTAAAAAATATATACATATAGTAGCAATAGTATATATACTTCAGTTCAACTCAAACATTGACTTGAAACTATTTAGAGTGAGGTCCTTTCTACGCTAGAATAATGATATAGTGATTACACAATCCAAAAGTCAAAGAAGAAATTTCTACAAAAAAAAAGTACTTAAAATGTTAAATTAACAACTAATTTATAAAATATACATGAACAATGCATATAACTATAGAAAATAAGGTATATATCTTCATGAATATTCCATAATGAGTGACCAATTATAATCACCCCAATTTAAGTATAAATAATTATTATTTTAGTTACTAATTTGATATGCATAATTATAGAATAAATCTCAAGTAAAAAATAGGAACTGAGATTTTATTATCCTATAGGTAAATAAATAAATGTTATTAGAGCTCCTCTTTATATTAAACTTAAAAGTAATAATTTAAATTACCAAGCGCCAAATATTAGTTCATGTGAGAAAGTAAAGTAATTTATGGTCTATATACCTATACAATTAATCAATCAAATGTATTAAAATTATAATGACCACAGTCAAAATTATATGGTGAGTTCATATTAACTATAATTTATAAAATATAGTACATTAAAGACAAAATCATTTTAACCACTATATAGATTGTCTAAATTTTTTGCATATATAAACTATACTGTCTAGGAATAATGATGTATGCACTTAACTATGGCCTAATAATCTTAAGAATGACTTGTACTTCAATATCATCATTAATTGACATATCTATGTATGACATTGAAAATACAATAAAAATTTAGAAAACTACAAGAGAAACAACCTCAAAAGTTTTAAAATTGTAATAAAAAACTTTCTAAAATTTTTTATTTTACAAATACACCAAACTATTAAATTGTACATTGAAATCAAGGAATTACAAAAAACCGTTGAAAATTTCAAACTTTGGAGGGTTAATTTGTAATATACTAAAATTTAAGGGAGTTTTTTATAAATTTCATAATCGATAGATTTTTAATTAGTTATGTTCTTTTTAAAAAAGTTATGGGTAATATTGACCATGAAAAGTTTTTCCTAAATCTATACTTTTAAAGGGAGTATGCTATTTTTTACAAATTTTTAATTTTCTAGGGGTTGTTAGTAATTTTGTATATTCATTTTAGTGTCTATAGGTTAGAAATTCTCATGGTGTTTTTTTTGTAAATTATGAGTTTTAGGGTCTTTTTGCATTTTTTAAACTTATACGCCTTTTCTACAGATTGTAAATTATTTATAGACTATTTATAATTCCTATGTTTTCAATTTACTAATAAGTTTGAAATTCTCAGCGTGTTTTTTATAAAATTTAAATTTTGAGGGTTTATTTGTAATTTTTAAAACTTTAAGGGTGTTTTCTTAAACTATAAATTATGTAGGGGACATTTATAATTCTTATATTTTCAATGTAGTGTTAAGTTGAAAATTATCAGGATTTTTATAAATTTTATAATTTTGATGGTTTTATTTTATAATTTATAAAATGTTTAGAGTGTTTATTACAAATTCCATAAATTTTGGAGATTTTTGTGTTATTTATCGGATTTTAATGTGTTTATATGTTTGAAATATTCAAGGGTTTTTTTTATGAATTTTGAGTTTTTAGGGGTGTTTTTATAATTTTTAAAACTTACAAGATATTTTCTCCAAAGTCAAAAAACGTTCAGTTGTTAGCTAGCATATATTTTTCAGATTTCTTACTAAATTGAAATAAGTAAAATTTACAAATTTCAAAATATTTCAATAAAATTTTAAATTTGTAGGGGTAGAAATTCTCATGGTGTTTTTTTTTGTAAATTATGAATTTTAGGGTCTTTTTGTAATTTTTTAAACTTATACGCCTTTTCTACAGATTATAAATTATTTATCCTATTTATAATTCCTATGTTTTTAATTTACTAATGAGCTTGAAATTCAAAGGGTGTTTTTTATAAAATTTAAATTTTGAGGGTTTATTTGTAATTTTTAAAACTTTAAGGGTGTTTTCTTAAACTATAAATTATGTAAGGGATATTTATAATTCTTATATTTTTAATGTACTGTTAAGTTGAAAATTATCAGGATTTTTATAAATTTTATAATTTTGAGGGTATTTTATAATTTGTAAAGAGTTTAGAGTGTTTATTGCAAATTCCATAAAATTTAGGTTTTTTTGTGTTATTTGTCAGATTTTAATGTGTTTATAAATATGTTTGAAATATTCAAGGGGTTTTTTATAAATTTTAAATTTTTAGGGATGTTTCTGTAATTTTTAAAACTTACAAGATATTTTCTCCAAAGTCAAAAAACATTCGGTTGCTAGCTAGCATATATTTTTCAGATTTCTTATTGAATTAAAATAAGAAAAATTTATAAATTTTAAAATGTTTTAATAAAATTTTAAATTTGTAGGGGTGTTTTTACAATTTAAATAACTTAGAGTATATTTTTTTTACAAAGTTCAAAAACTTTTAGGTGCTAGCTAGCACATATTTTTTAGATTTATCTGCGAACTGAAATAAGTAAAGGATTTGAATTATATCAAACGTATCTCCTTTATCCAATAACATGTTAAGTCTCATTATGAATGGGATAAATCATTTAACTATCAATTCGAAGAAGATAGGGTAATTAGAATAAATTAGGATAACAATATAATATTCAAAACAGTTAAGGGTAATATTGACCATGGAAAGATTTTCCCGAACTCATACTTTTAAAGGGAGTATGATATTTGTAATCACTCGACGAAGGCTTTAGAACTTGTCGTTATTATATGCACATTAATGATGGTCAACTGGTCCATTCACTAATTTTGGTCGTTAAATACCGGATTTCTTGTAGTGATACTAATCATATTGTTATGATAGTTTAATCCTTAGATTATAAATTTGAAGTTAATTTTGATAATCAAGATGTCTAATCTTAACTTTTGGGATATAATGAACATATTAATGAACTCTTTGAATCATATAAACCATATTTTTTTCAATACTATATAGTTTTTTCATATCCATTTTGTATCTACATGCATTTCTGCTTATATATTTGCATGTATATCTGTATCCGCATCCAATTTTAGCTGATATGGATATGAATTTTCATCACCGAGGTATATCCATATCCGAGATGGGTAAGCGGATATGCATGCACCCCTACACACCCACCTTTGTTTATTCAAATAAATCGAGACAATTTTCTAACTTTTCCCAAATGTAGCCATAGCGCTGTTATATTTCAATAAAAAAATTACCAAAATATCTTCAACCAAAAATAAGAATATAAGAGGGTTAATTGTTGAGAAGTGTTTTAGTCGATTGAAGTCACGTGCGGGATTAAGGCAGTTTAACTTGGTGGCTTCATGGGAAAACTTGGGAAGAGTGTTAGCGCATAAACAGAGTTCAGGGGGTTACATGGAAAACTCTCCATAGTTTTGTGGAGCTTTTTCAAATTTCCCTTTTTCCCTAAACCGAAAATTAGCTGGAAATTTAAGAATTCAGACTAGTTTGGTATTGCTTTTTTTAGGATGCTTATGCTTATTTTTCAAGAAGCAACCAATTCATAATGATGTTTGATGAAAATAATTTGACATATTTTTAAAACTATTTTTACTTTTAAGGGGTGCTTTTAGAAGCAATATGATGATGCTTTTAAAAGTAGCTTTTGCCCTTTTAGTTTATATACCATACATCTTTTATCTTTTAAAATAATTATTAATCATAGTTTTACAGCACACCTTAATTACTTTCCAAGTAGTTTTTTAATATTTAATAGCTGAACAACTATTTTCAGCAGCTTATATAAGTTAGCTTTCTATAAGCTACTTTTGTAAGCAACTTGTTATAGGTTCTAGCAATACCTAACCGGCCCGATGTACTCCGTATTTTCTTGCTGATCAAAGGCTGGAAGTAATGTTATTGCACACTTGCCCAAATGTGCATGCCTATTATTAGGCTATCAAACATGAATTTTACTTTCAAGTCAAGTAGATCAATAACAGGATTGTTCATTCTTTCCAATATAATTAGATGGGCATGGGAAGCGCAATGGACACATTATGCGGTCAAGCATTTGGAGCGAAGCAATACCATATGCTAGGTATATATATGCAAAGAGCACTGATCGTCCTCACTCTCGTAAGCGTCCCTGTCGCCTTTGTATGGGCATTTACCGGCCAAATATTGATTGCACTTCATCAAGACGAGCAAATATCGACCGAAGCAGGCTTATATGCTCGATGGATGATCCCATCTCTCTTTGGTTATGGCTTGCTCCAATGTCACATAAAATTTCTACAGTCGCAGAAAATAGTGATACCATTGATGATATGCTCAGGCATCACAACTTTGCTGCACATTTTGTTTTGTTGGGTTCTTGTGTTGAAATCTAGCCTCGGTGTTAGAGGTGCAGCTATAGCGATATCTTTATCGTATTGGGTTAACGTTTTGTTGTTAGCACTTTATGTCAAATTATCTCCGGCGTGTAAAAGAACTTGGACTGGATTTTCTAGAGAGGCTTTGAAGGATATTCCTAAATTCCTTAAGCTTGCGATACCTTCAGCTGCAATGATCTGGTAAGCTGAGATTTCTTTTCATTAGTAGTCATATTTTCTTGCGAGATGGCATGATAAATTATTTTACAATTTGTTTAAGTTCTTTCGTGATCTGAAACAGCTTGGAGTTTTGGTCTTTTGAGATTCTTGTGCTCCTTTCTGGTCTGCTTAGGAAACCCAAGCTGGAAACTTCAGTGATGTCAATAATGTAAGCATTTATTTATGTTCCTGTATAGTTACAATTATATAAATGTTGAGTTGAGAAGGAATGGTGGACGGTAAGAAATATATTATTATTATTATTTCTTTAGTAATACAAACTCAATACTCTCTCCAATATAAACACTCCACACTACAAAATACCACACTCTTTTACAACACACTACTATTTCTCTCTCTGTTCCTCACTTTATTTCTCTCCATATCTCTCTCTCTCTATATATATATCTTTGCTACTGGGATTTGGCTTCCTATGTCTGATCAATCTTTGAACTTGTTATGTTTGTTCATCACCGATATCTTCTATCTGACTAAGGCGCTCCTCTTCTGATATTATCTGATGAACATCAGTCTTCCATGAATTCTTCTCCTTCCGAGATGTAGGAGAACTTGATTTTATCTTCTTTAATTACTGTAGTTCTTCTTCTTGACTTGGCTCCCTAAGCTTCTTTTGTAACTGATCTTCTAGATTATTGGAGTTCGGGAGCACAACTTCTTGTGAAGTCCACCAAGACGAGGCTTCATCGAACAATACATTTCTTGATGTGTAGAATCGCTTAGTTGTGGGATCACAACATCTCCATCATTTTTCTTTTGTTGTCATACCTTGTTTGCGTCGGAATCATTTTATTTGTTGGACTCATTACAACTCGTTTATCGAATATAATGAATTCTCACTCATAAATAAACTAAACAAAGACTTCCTAGAAACACACGCATGATTGTTTATCGATCGCTGCTTGCGTGAGATCTTTGCCTGTGCCGAGGACTCTTTGATCCGTGGACCGCCGAGTATCAGATCTGGATTGATTGGTACGAGGGCTTGATGTTCTTTGTGTCAAACGAGAAAACTTAGAATAGAAGTAAACAACCTCAACAAAGTGAGATTACTACTCTTCTTGAGATCAAAACAAAGTCTGATCTTAAGGGAAGGGTGAAATAGCTGTAGATCTCTCGAAATCCGAATTCACCAAGATCTTGCCTAAGGACTCTGAAATTCATGGCTCTTCTCTGGAAAACGTGAGTTGGATCGCACGTTCGTCAGTGCCCTTCACAAATGACAAGGGGGGGGGGGGATTTATAGGGCTTCGGACGTTGTGTTTTCGGATAAGAATTTGTAATTTGGTCTTATCCTCAGTTAGAAACGACTTAACCACGTTTAGGGATAACCCCAAGGCAGGGGGGGGTATTTATAGGGCTTCGGACGTTGTGTTTTCGGATAAGAATTTGTAATTTGGTCTTATCCTCAGTTAGAAACGACTTAACCACGTTTAGGGATAACCCCAAGGCAATTAGGGAGGCAGTAGATCAAACGAATCCCGAGAAACTTTTCAAAAAATGCATTGTCAGGGGGTTTGTTGGGCGAGTCACCTCAATGTGACTCGGCACTATTCCGAGTCACTTTGAGGTGACTCGAAATTTCTGAGTCACCCTGAGGTGACTTGGAGTTTTGTGACTTCCCGACTTTGTCTTGTTTCGTCGTATTTTGCGTGTTTCGTTATTCCATGCACGTTCGTTTATTTCTTTTTAACATCGGATGATCCCCTTTGACTTAAATAACAACGTTCTTCATCTTCTCTTTGTCTTGAGCTGTGTGCAGGAACCTATAGGTAATTTTTGATGCCTATAGATACTCCTTTTAAAGTATTTCAGCCTCATTCTTTTATAGGGGAGTCTGATATACTTTGGATAAGATAGACCCAGCCTTCAATTCTTCGACTTCTTCAGCTTCCATTCTATTCAATATTTTTTTGAATAGTCTAAAATTCTTTTGGCGTTGCGTTTATCGTCTGATCGTTGTCAAAATTTGAACTGAAACTAGCATGTTAATTTCTGAATTAGCTCACGTCGTTGAATCAACGTTGAACTGATCATCTTCGTCGGGAGTTTGTATCTAAATTGCGATTGAACTCCTCAGAATAATTATTTGTCTTGAAAATTATCCTGATCCCTATTTTGGTAAAATTATCAATACGTTGACTGGCGTTGACCTTCGTTGTGGCAAAATTATCGACACGTTGATCAACGTTGACCCTCGTTATAACGCGTTGATTGGCGTTGACCTTCGTTGTAACGCGTTGACCGACGTGAACACAGTTTATACTCATACGTTAACTTGAGTCTACACAGTTTAAGCTCTTAAGGTGTTAGAGCGCGGAGGATCAGTTTATACTCGTGTACTCATCGGAGTTTTCAGGAATCAGTTTAACCTCATATACCTGTCGGAGGTTCAAGGAGATACAGTTTAGACTCATATACTCATCGGAGTGTAAAAACATGCTGGAGATGAACCAAAAATATGTTGGAAGTCACGCAAGAAGGGGTTTCTCTATGCGAGATAGTATACCCTAGCTCATGTGTCTGAGGCGGGTTCAGTTGTCTTGCTTGAAGAAAGGCGGCTGTCGAGCTGAATTTGTTGAAGTCCGAAACTTGCGATCTTTTGTATCATCTTTGTCCGCTTCCTTGAGTTTGGCAAAGTTTAAACTTTATTATGATTACATTCTGTTCAGAATAAATAAACATAATATTCACAGGATTTTAGCAAACCCTCAGTCATCAATGGGTTTGATGAGCCTTTACCGACTACCGTTTGAATCGGATTAGCACATAGATTGTCTAAATCCGTTCCACATATAACGTTGTGCTAAAAGAATGAACTCTTTTAGACTTCGTGCTATGATACCGAATATGTAGACTTCGTCATTCCTCATGGAATACTCATAGGATTTTTGGCAAACCCTCAGCCATCAACGGCTTTGATGTTCCTTTACCGATTATTGTTTGAATCAAGCTAGCATGTGAATTATCCGTTTTATATGTAATGTTGCGCTAAAAGGATGAACCCTCTTAGACATGGTGCTATGATATTGAATACATAGACTTTATCATTTTTTTACGAAAAAAGACTTACCGACAATACATGTTAAGCATAGAATTATCTCTAATTAGGGATCGAGATAAATTTCCCCATGCGTGGAAGACATGAATTTTGTGTCTTCTCTTGGGGCAAAGACAAACCCTGTACTGGAGAGGAAGAATTTTATATTCTACCTTCAGGTCTTCTCTTGGGGCAAAGACGAACCCTGTGCTGGAGAGGAAGAATTTTATATTCTATCTCCAAATCTTCTCTTGGGGCAAAGACGAACCTTGTGCTGGAGAGGAAGAATTTTATATTCTATCTCCTGCTATAAAAGAGACTCAAAATGGGATCTCCACTTCAAGAATCTTAGAAGGTGAAACTAAGAGTGGGATCTCCACTCCGAGAATTAAAAAGATCCAGATAACCATAACTTTTATAGAATTGGTTACCTAATCTGAAGGTAGATTTCTCATTTATCGAGATAAAATTCTAACTTTGATCCTAACTGTAGGAAAGTTTGACCAAAGAGGAGTTTTGAGACGACCCTAATTGTTTAAAGGTTTAATCATCCAACTTGAAAGTGGACCTCTCGTTCATGGAAGGAATCGAGATGAGATTTTGGTTGTGGTCCTAACTGTTTAAAGGTTTGACTGAGATGGGGGTTTGGAACGATCCTAACTGTTTAAAGGTTTAATCATCCAATTTAAAAGTAGGCCTCTCGTTCATTGAAGGAATTAAGAAGGGATTTTGGTTGTGATCCTAAATGTTTAAAGGTTTAACCGAGATGGGGGTTTGGAATAATCTTAACTGTTTAAAGATTTAATCGTTCAATTTGACAGTGGACCTCTCGTTCATGGAAGAAATTGATAGGGGATTTTGGTTTTGGTCCTAATTGTTTAAAGGTTTGACTGAGATGGGGTTTTGGAGCGATCCTAACTATTTAAACGTTTAATCGTTCAATTTGAAAGTGAATCTCTCGTTCATGGAAAAAATCGAGAGGGGATTTTAGTTTTAGTCCTAACTATTTAAAGGTTTGACCAAGTAGGATTTGGAACGACTCTAATTGTTTAAAGGTTTAATCATCCAATTTGGAGGTGAATCTCTCGTTCATAGAAGGAATCGAGAGGGGATTTTGGTTTTGATCCTAACTGTTTAAATGTTTGACCAAGTGAGAGTGGAAGTATAAATAACAGTGGGAGTGTTGACTTGTACGAATCACATAGTGGGGGTTTTTGGTGTCAAGTGACTTAACATGAAGAGAGTTTGATAATTGCCATGAATCAGCAGATTGAAATTTTGAATGTTGTGTCAGGATTCCAACAGTGAGAATGTTAAAGACTTGGACACAACGGGAGTTAGAAGGGATTCAATCACGAAGAATTTTGGTGGACCCACCGTCAATTAATTTAAACTACGAGGGATTTTATGGAGGAATGTGAATCATCAAGCACTCCACAATTACACAGTAGGGGTTTCGCGAGGGAAGATTGACCTGATGAGGTTATTGAATCTCGTCTCAGCGAAAAGATGCTTGGAAAGTCACAACGAGAATTGGTGGAATCGATCCCGGATATTGAAACTAACCAAGGATTGGATGAAGGAAAGTAAGCTTTTCACTTCGTAAAAGAATCCTGGTTATCAGTAAAAAGCCGATGACTGAGAAGGATTTTGGCAATTTGGTCCTAGTGGGAATCTTAATCATTTTATAATAAATTATTCAGGTGATTGGTTTTCATCTTGAATAATCATTTGATTTTGGGTTATCCTTAAGAATGCTAGGCGTAGTATTCTCTAGAAACTTCTCATTAAAGGGCAATGCTGATGTTCTTGATACGAAATCAGGTCTTGGTTCCTTACTTCATATTTCCCTCGAACTTCGTATCGACCCCTAGCTTTTTGGTGACACTGTGTCTAATCAGAAGTATATCATTTTTAGCCACATTGTTGGGTTATTCTTAAGAATATTATGTGTAATATTCTCCAGGGACTTCCCGTCAAAGGTAGGGAACAGTTTAACCTCGTATACCAGTTAGAGGTGGGGGAAACAATTTATACTTGTATACCCATTGAAGTATTCATCGTTCTCATTTGGCTTGTTTTGCCGTTATGACGCTGGAGTCAATTAAGGT